TCAACCTGATACCAGGACTTCGTATCTAGCTACAGTGATCAAGACTGTATGGCCTTGATGGGGGGATAGTCACATATATATCACTGGGGCAGAATAGAGAATTCAGATTTAGACCAAACAAAAATCCCTAACTAATTTTTGACAAAGATGTGAAAGCAGGTCAATGGAGGAAAGACAGCACTTTTAACAAATGCTGCTGTAGCAGTTGGTCACCTGTCTCAACCTGTGTCTCACACCTCATATAAAAAATTAATTCATGGACCTAAATGTAAAACACAAAATGAAATTTGAGAGAAGAAATACAGGAGAATACCAGGATCTAGGGCTGGGCAAAGAGTTAGTAGATCTGACACTGAAAGCACAATTTATGAGAGGAAAAGTTGAAAATTGGATTTCATCAAAATTAGAAACTTTTACTCTGTGAAAGACCCCGCTAAGAGGATGAAAAAATAACTACAGAGTGGAAGAATATATTTGCAAACCACACCTTCAACAAAGGACTAGTATCTAAAATGTATAATAATCTTTCAAAACTCAACAGTACAAAAGCACATAATCCAATTAGAAACAGGCAAAAGACATGAATAAATGTTTTACTGGGAAATATGTGGAGATGGCAAAGAAGCACAAGAAAAGTTGTTTAACTTCATTAGCCATGAGGGAAAAACAAATTAAAATCACAGTAAGATACTGCTACGCACCTATCAGAATAGCCACACTTTGTAAAGATTGACAGCATCAAATACTGTTAAATGGGATCAGTCTGACATTGCTGGCTGGAATGTGGAAATGGCACAGCCACTCTATGACACTGGCCTTTTCTTTAAAAGCTTACCGTGTTGGAACTACCATATGACCCAACATTAACACTTTGGGGCATTTATCCTGTAGAAATGAACTTCATGTTCCACACAAGTCTGCCTATCTGTATTCACAGCAGCTTCATTTGTAATAGCCCCAAACTAGAAACAGCCCAGATGTCCCTGATTGAGCAAATGGTTAAACAAACTAAGGTATAGCCGCACTGTGGAATTCCTGCCAAGCAATAAAAGGAAGGAACCATTGTTATATGCAACAACCTGGATGGATCTTTAGAGAATTATGCTGAGTGAAAAAAGCCAATCCCAAAGGCTATATACTGTATGGTTTTATTTATATAATATTCTCCTTGAAATGACGAAATTACTGAAATGGAGAACAGATTAGTCGTTGCCAGGGGTTGTGAGGAGGTGGGAAGAAAAGGAAAGGGGGTGTGGCTATAAAAGGGCCACAGGAGGGGTCCTCGTGGTGATGGAAATGTGAGTGTTCTGGTTGTGATGTTGTACTCTACAAGGTTACTATTGGGAGAAACTGGGTAAAGACATACGTACAATAGGTCCCTGTATTAGTTCTTTTTTTTTTTTTTTTTTTTTTAAGATTTTTATTTGTCAGAGAGAGAGCACACATGGAGGGTTAGCACAACAGGCAGTGGAAGAAGCAGACCCCAGGACCCTGGGATCATGACCTGAGCCCAAGGCAGATGCTTAACTGACTGATCCACAAAGGTGTTCCCCCTCTGTATTCTTAAAACTGCAGTTACCTCATAATAAGTTTAATGAAAAAAAACCAACAACAACAAAAGAGAATACATATTGTTCCCTTCCTTTCCTGCTGTTTTAAAAGAAGAGATGGCCTTTTGTGCTCTGGATTTTACTACTTTCCACTTTCTCCAGCACTTTTATGAATCTTCTTTTTTCAAATTTTTTTTCTCTCCATTGGCTCCTTCTCTTTTTCCTATAAAAAGGCTTACCTTTCACTCAAATAACAACACATAAGAAACTAAATTAAGCAAATTTCCTTTTGTTTTTCCCTTTCACACATACTACCCTAACCTTAAGAATCTTCCTGGAGAGGGGCACCTGGGTGGCTCAGTGGGTTAAAGTCTCTGCCTTCAGCTCAGGTCATGATCCCGGGGTCCTGGGGTCAAGCCCCGCATCGGGATCTCTGCTCAGCCGGGAGCCTGCTTCCCCTTCTCTCTCTGCCTGATCTCTGTCTGTCAAATAAATAAAATAATTTTTAAAAAAATCTTCCTGGACATGAATTTCTTCCTCAGCTTCTCTAATCCATCTATAAGATCTGTCATAGAACCTCCTAACCATCTCTGAAAACCACCAGTTACCACAGAACTCTCCAGTTCTTCCCATACTTACTCTGGCTTCATTCCAGATACATCTTCACATTCCTGCCAGAGTGATCTTTCCAAAGCTCAGATCTCATGACATCGTTGTCAACCCTCTCCCCACTTTAAAAAATATTTAATGGATTTTCATTGTTTTTAAATTAAGGACTCAAATTTTTAAAATGACTTTCAAAACCTTGTATGGTCTGGCTCCATCTCATCTTTCTCTTTCTTTTTTCTCTCTTAAACTTGGCCACACTGGTTATTTTCAGATCCTGAAACACTGTGGGTACTTTCTGCCGCCATTCTCTTGAATATGCTATTCTTTCTTTCTGAAATCTTTTTCTCCTTTTCATTCTTTAGATCTTAGTTCAAGGGTTACTTTGGTCAGAAAAATTTCATTACTAATTTCCTGGTAGGTTCTTCTGGTATAGTATTTTTTGAAATTATCATCTTTCATGTGTGTCTTTCCCCCTGAGTTGCACAGAAGCACTGGTTGTGTTTTGCTCACTGTTGCATCCCCAGCTGCTGTCTGACACACAGAGGCACAGCAGTAAATATTTGCTGAGTGGATGAATCCCTCTCCTTACCTTCATTGTCCATTGTTTTTAAGAGTTGTCAATACTTTTCGCCATCTTTTTACCTCTGTTGTTACTGCCAGAGTTCATCTTTTTCTCTTTAATTCTGGACCATTACAATAATTTCACAATCAAAGTTTCTGCTTCTAGTCTTTTTCCCATTCCTCTTGTCCTTCACTAAATCGTGTGATTTATCTCCTTCAAGTCCTTTCCTTTGGCAAAACAAGCCATAAAGTCTCCTTAGCACACCAAGGTCTCCTAGACTGACCCCTTAATGCCCAGGGACACACATACTTCCTTTGTCCAGCAGCACTCAACCTAACTTGGGTCCAGTGACCATGTTTACTTTTCACATACTGTTCCTTTTGCTCTATCTTTGAATTTTGGAGTTCTAAAGACTTGGTTGCCATCTTACTGGAAGCTATCACATCATCATATGAACAGGTTTAATGAGTTCTGTCAAACTAACAGCCATTCCTCCTCCCAGGCTTCTTTCAAGGGAGTAAAATCAATTCCATTAAGAAAGATTGACTTCTGTACTGGCACTCAGTTATGGCAAATTTGAAACAAAGCAAGTATCAGGTGTATTTTTTAGTATAATTATTAAATAGAAATTACTGTATCTCAGCTCAAAAGTACCCTACCAAACAGTATTTTAAATTATGTTCCCCTCAGCTGGGTATCATGTGTGTATATTGCTGATTTTCCACTCGTGGGCATTGTTTTCCATTTCTGAAGACTAGTACTAATTTTTTCTCGTGAAATAGAGGATTTTAAATTTTGTAAATTTTTCTTATTTTGTGAGGCGTGGAAATCGTGTCTTATCTCTCCATTTTATCCTAGTAGTTCTTGCTCTGTTCCGTGATATGTTCATTGCTTCTCTATCTCATTATGTTCAGTTGGGATTTGAGGTCTAATAGAAGGCCACTTGATAAAGTTGAGTCAGGATCTCTTGCAGGGTATTTCATAGAGAAGCCACCAAACCTGATTCTGGTTTTCCTCTTTCATTGTCCAGAAACTTAATCTTGTTTATCAGTTTTGGGAAGCTTAATTACTCAGGTTCAGAGTATACTGAAATTTAAGCCAGAATAGCTCTTTACTTAGGATGAGAATTATAAATGTGGCACAGACCAAATAGTCATTTCCTCTCTTTTTTCCCCATCAGGAATTCTATATGAAAAGCCATGTTTTTTGTTAAGCGTAGATACAGGTACGAAATGTGACAATATTAAGATTTGAGAGAAATATCTGCCTATGAAAACTAGTTTAGACATAGAACCTCCAAATAAAAATAAAATTATAACTCCACAAACTTGTATCCAAATCAACTAAACTTGTTTACTTTATAAAAACTTGATGAGAATATTGATTTCTGATTTTTTCCCCTTGGTGTTATAGGATCACTTTTTTTTCTTTAAATAGTCTCTTTAAAAGATTTAAATCACTATACAGATTTAGGTTATCGTGATCAGTGTCCTTGTTGATAATGGCATGATAGCATGTTCTTACCTGGTAACCACACCCAGATTGCTGCTCTCTGCCAACTCTGTTCTCTCCCTTCCCTGTCCCTTTTCTTCCCTTTCCTAGCCAAGCCACCATAGGAAACTTTCGGTAGGCAGGGTGGCCTCACTACTTTGTGTTTCTGATCTGACATTTTACCTTCTCCAGTAGTCCTCTCAGTGTGGCGTAGCTGTAGTGGAGTGACACATTGATTCCAGACTTCAAAATTAAATCATTTGCAGGAAAAAATGGGGAGATCTGGGAGGCAGGGATAGATTGTGGGGAGTGGAATTGGCTACAAAATTTGTATAGCTTTGAGAATAATTAGATATGTTTAGAGATGGGGTGCCTAGGTGGCTCAGTCGGTTCAGCATCTGACTTTTGATTTTGGCTCAGGTCACCATCTCAGAGATGTGAGATCCAGGCCCGCTTTGGGCTCCACACTTGGTATGGAACCTGCTTAAGACTCCCTCTCTCTCTCTCCCCTACCCCTCTCCACCCCAAGCTTGCATGCTTTTCCTCTCTCTCTCAGAAAAAATACGTGTTAGAGATAATTCATTGTAACATTTTGATTTGTATTTGTGATTATTTGTGCATGTTAAATATGAGCAGAGTAAATTGGACTAAATTAAATTCTGCTAATTTTGTTAGTCTCTCTGTAGCCATGTAAATAATGCATTTTAAGTGTTTTCTCTGTTTTATGTGAAGAGTTTCTCAGTTACTGTTTTCCTAGTTCTGAAATGTGCCAATGTTTTTTTTTGCAGCTCTGAAAAACTGGTGCTGCTGGCAGGTGGTAGTCTGGAGATCAGTGATGTTACTGAGGATGATGCGGGGACTTATTTTTGTATCGCTGATAATGGAAATGAAACAATTGAAGCTCAAGCAGAGCTTACAGTACAAGGTATGTCATTATTTCCTGTATAAATAAATTCTGTGTACTTTGTGGGTTTGCTAATTGTTTAACATTAAAGTAGAAGAGACAACACAGCGTAAAACCCTGAGCTTTACACCAGATTGCTTAGGTTCAATTCTTGGTCTTATGTTTCCTACCTATATAACTATAGGAAACTTACTTAACCTCTCTGATGCTCATTTACCTCATCTGTAAAATGGAGATAATAAGAGTACTTACTTCATTGGGGTTGTTTAAGGATTAAAAGAGTTAATACTTATAAATTCCTAGAATATGTGACTAGAATATGATAAGAGCCCAGTTAATTATTGCTATTATCTGTAGTAGTAGTATGGGGAAGGCTGTGTTCTGGGGCATCTGGAAGGTTCAGTTCACTTTTCTTATCTCAGAGAGACTTCTTACACTCTGACCTAGAACCGTTTATCTCCTAAGCATTGGTGTTCCTTCCTTTCAGGAGAATAGATCACCCAGGATGGAATGCACTATGTCTCTCAATGTAACATGGTCATCTCTTTGATGACTTGATGATTTATCTCTTCCTGTTCAACTAATGTTGGTCCTCACAGCATCTTCCCTTACAGGTTCTCTGATTTAGAAGTCAGAGAAAATGAACATGGCATTATCTCTCCTTTATCTCCGTGTCCCTTATTCTTCCTCCATATTGAAATGTACCATGAGAGGAATATTTGCTATCTTGCCTATAATTTATCTACACCCTCATTTTACCTTTGTTTCAACTAAAAAATTTTAAGACCTTTCCTATTACTTTCAGGAAATCCAACTTTGCTTGGATATGTAGAGGTGTATTTTGGCTCATAATATTCATTATTACCTTGTCTCAAATTGTATTATATTTGATAGAATACTTCCTAATCTGTGGTTTAGGGTTATTCCATATTTTTATGAAAGTTTGTTTCTCTTGGCTCACTGGTGGGTTTCAGAGTAGGAAGTATGATAGCCACACTTATACTTCCAGTAGTCACCAGAGGACTCAAATTTGTTTTGTTTTATATATAACATATATATTTGTTTATTTTTGCTAATCTCTACACCCAGCGTGCAGCTTGAACTCACGACCCCGAGATCAAGAATTGCATGCTCCACTGACTGAGCCAATTTGAAGGTTTCAAATTTGTTTCTGATAGGAATTGGGGAATAGACTGCTTGGGGTTCTCCTATGCTGGCAAAAGCACAGAATGTTTATGTTCTCTGTTCATCATCTCTGAAAATCAAAAGAGCAAGCCTTAGACTGTAATTATTACAGTTAATTACATAACTATTGCCTCACTTGAGCTCAACCATCATTCTTGGCTCGGTCGAAGGTTGGCTATGACCAATTGTAGAATGACCAATTTCTATTTCTTTTCTTTTTTTTTTTTTTTTTAAAGATTTTATTCATTTCATTTGACAGACAGAGATCACAAGTAGGCAGAGGCAGGCAGAGAGAGAGAGGAGGAAGCAGGCTCCCCGCCGAGCAGAGAGCCCGATGCGGGGCTCGATCCCAGGACCCTGGGATCATGACCTGAGCCAAAAGCAGAGGCATTAACCCACTGAGCCACCCAGGCGCCCCCCTAATTTCTATTTCTATTTTATTTATCTGTTTATCCATTTTATTTCTTTACCTCTGTGTGTGGGTGGGATCATACAAGTAAAATATTAGTAAACTCTATCTTATTTGGTCCCGGTGCCTCCCTTACTAGATGTTTTCTCTTTTTGTTTTTACCATTAGTCAGATTCTTGGTCTAACACTCTCTTCCGTTTCTTACCCGTGCCTCAGTTTCCTCCACTGTAAAGTACCTTGTTATTAACCTCAGATATGAGGCATAGTGTCTGCTGTATATGTCGGTTGCATCTGTCCATCTGGTGATTTTCTGCTTTTTAACTTTCATTTATTGTTTGGAATTGAATTAAGACTCTTCTAGTAACTTACTATATTTTTTTTAGTTGTAAGATAATACATACATATTTACAGTTTGTACTAGTTCCATCTTAGTCTATGCCTCTAATTTTCGAGAAAGTGCCCTTTAAATGAGTACATTCTAGAAAACTGAGGAAAGAATAAGAGTAAAGAAACCTACATATTAAAAATTACCACGACCTTCTCTAATTAAACAGCATGGTATTGTCCCAAGAGTAGGCGACCAAAAGGAATAAAATCCAGCTGTTATAAGTAATTCTAGAACTTAAAACTATTATCAAAGTAGCAATTCAGTTCAGAGGGGAAAAAACTTTTATTTACTAAAGGGTATTGGTAGAATAGATTTTCAAGCAGGAGAAAATAAAGTTGGTCAAAATATGAAAAAAATGAAGAAAATGTTTTAATGTTTGTATTATCTGTGCTGGAAAAGACAGTCTGAGAACAGGAAAGAACATGTCAAGCAAAAACCAACAAATGTTGACAACATACAGTTTTTTTTTTAAAGTTATATAGAAGAGCCCCTGTAAATAAAGGCTAAATGCAAATGATAGACTAGGAATAGTTGTAACACATAATTGAGAAAGGGTGAGAATTCTCAAAATAGAGTTTCTAGAAACTGATTATAAAAAAAAATCTGAGGAAAATTGATAAAGAATATCAACAGGAAGTTCACAAACAAGGTTTTATTAATGTTTGCATTTCTTTATTGGCAGATAGTCAACCATACTACTAGTGAGAAAAATACAAATTTAAAAGATAACATGCTTCTCAACCATTATATTGGCAAAAATTGAAAAGATTTTGACCTCCAGAGCATGTGGCGGGGTATTGAGAACTGAGAATTATTGTTGATAATATATCGCCAGTTGAAAACATTGCCTCGTTGGTACTAGATATTGTATTCCTCAGTGAAATTTAGTTTTTAGTTGAATTAGCTTTTTTGATATCCTCCTTCTAGGGAACAACCAAATTCATTTCTTAACCAAGTCTGACCAGCTGTCCACTGATTCTTTCTCTTCCTCCCCAACCTCACTTGCTAGGTCCTTTCATTTCTTGCCTCCTGGTGAAAACACATCCTATCTGCTAACTTCTCTATTTCTGACATAGTTTCACACCGGCTTGAGGCTAATAGTTGTGCATGTGTGTTTGAGGGTGCCTGCCATGGTCTTTGATCTGCAGTAGAAGACTGGGGAGTTGTGGTGCTTGAAGATACTTAGAGGTCAAAAATGTTGTTGAGCAGAAGAACTATAGAGGTTTTTTTTGTTTTGTTTTGTTTTTTAATTTACTCAAAAGTTTACACAGTGCTTTATAAATCCATGGTTAATGAAAAGTTAGAAAAATAAATAAAATGTATTTTCAGAGGTATGAAGGTAGGGTTGTTAGGCGTGTCCATGAAAGAATTAGGAAGCACTTATCATTACTGTCTAAACTAGATGCCCCAGGGTAAATTTTATGGTTATACAATATTGTACTAACAAATTTTAATTTTTCATTTTGCATCACATTTTTTAAAAGATTTTATTTATTAATTTGAGAGAGAGAGGGAGAGCAAGCACGAGAACAGGGGAGGGTCAGAGGGAGAAGCAGACTCCCTACTGAGCAGGGAGCATGTTGCGGGACTCAATCCCGCACTCCAGGATCATGACCTGAGCTGAAGGCAGACACGCAACCCACTGAGCCACACAGGTGCTCCCTGCATCACATTTCTGAACTGGATTATGAGTGGTTGAAATTGAACAGAAGTTCTGCACCACTGATAAAGAAAAGAGTTTCTAGGCCGGTTTGCATTTTCTATCAAACTAGTTCTAGCTCTTGACTCCTTCACCCAAGATCAGCTCTGAAGAAACTAGAGGAGTAAGAGGGAAGTGTGGGGAGACTAAGGCTCTCATGAATCTGTATGTGTCTCGGTGGAGTATGTGTGGGGGTGCTGGCTATAGCCTGGGACTAAGGACTGCATGAGGAAGCAGTGAGAAAATAGATTGGAGGGCTATTAAGTTCTATTGTTATTCCTCTCTGGTGTTGTCTGAAACTGTCTTTCCCTGTTCTTTCCCCACAGAAGTGAGCAGCAGTAGCTCAGGCCTCCATGATTATTCAAAAGATCTGCTAGGGCTCTGATGGCATTAATATAAGTGGGGATGGCCTGACTAATTGCCCACTAGGGATAACTACCTTTTTTCTCCCCTCCCAAACTCCCATTGGTGTGTTTCAGCCTAGCAAGACTCTGTGCCCAGTGTTGTTTCTCCGAGTTTAAATGAGAGGAAATGTATGTAAATGCCCAGCAAACTGGAGTAAACAGCAGTAATTCTAAGGTCCCTGGGGCTCTTTGCTCTGGGGATCACTCTCCTCTCTTGTAAATTTCACCAGGTTGGATACAGTTAGGTCCCTAACCATATGTTACTAGACAGAGTGACTGGTTCCCCAGGAAAACATTAGTTTATAACCAGACTAGTCACCTGGACACAGGTACAGTACAGTTACTCTCAAAGACAACTAAGTGAATAACATATACCATCTGATGGAGAATTTTTGAAAAAGATTGATCAAGAATTAAAAATAAATTTAACAAATGTATTTTAGGAGATTAGAAAAATGTAGCAGTACCATGCAAAAAACAAGAAAACATAACAATGTAGAACCAAGTAGAAATATTAGTTATGAAAAATGTAAAAGTAAAGAATAGAGTAGACTAGATGGTGGTCGAAGGTGTACAGTTGATAAACTCATGAGTTGGAAGATGATGCTTTTGAAAAACTCTTGAGAATACAATATTAAATGACAAAGAGAACACATAGAATAAAAGTCAAGAGGCATGAAAGTTAGATGTAGAAGAGTTTCTTTCCTGGTAAATAGGAATCCTAAAAGAGAGAACAGAAAGGAAGGAGAAAATTTTTGAGAAATGATTAAGATCAGTTTCTCAGAATTAAAGAATAATGGAAGTCCTTAGTCTAAAAGGGCTTAAAGACTTCTGTGTGTAAGTGGGAAGGAAACCCCAACCTTGGACCCATATAGTTACAGATAATATCAAAAACAAGGACAGAATTCTTAAAGCTTCCAGTGATAAAGAGCAGAT